AAAAAAAAAAAAAAAAAAAAAAAATGCTCAAACTGATTTTTAATTAATTAATTTATTCAACTATAAATAAAAATCATAGTATTTAAGTTGTGAAACAAATACAATAAAATTAACAATCGTAACCTTTGAGAAAATATCTATTGTGTTTCATCTCCATAGAATGGCTAGGTTTTACGTTGGCTCGCCAAGCCTATCACAACCCTCCTCCTTTACCAAGGCTTGGAACCTGCTATGTTGAGACAACATCAATTTCTCCTTTTCCTAATACGACAATTGATGGAGAGATTAGGGACCAAAAGGACTTTCACATGGTCTTTATCGACCTTGAGAAAGCTTATGACAGAGTACTGAGGAATGTCATGTGGTGGGCCTTAGAAAAGTGCAAAGTCCCATCTAAGTACATTACCCTCATCAAGAATATGTACAAGGATGCGATGACGTGTGTTCGAACATGTGGGGGCGATACCAGCGACTTCCCAATTAAAATAGGACTACACCAGGGGTCAGCATTGAGCCCTTATTTATTTAACTTGGTGATGGATGAGGCCACAAGGGACATACAAGGTGATCTCCCTTGGTGTATGCTCTTTGTTGATGATGTGGTGCTAGTTGACGAGAGTAGGGCCGGGGTAAATAGGAAGTTAGAGCTGTGGAAGGACACGTTAGAGTCGAAAGAGTTAAGACTTACTAGGACGAAGACCGAGTACATGACGTGCGCTTTCAGCATGACTACTCATGATGATGGGGATGTTAGCCTTGACGGGCAAGTGGTGGCCAATAAGGAGACTTTCTGGTATTTAGGATCGATGCTACAAAAGGATGGCGACATTGATGAAGATGTTAGGCATAGAATTGCAACCGATTGGTTGAAATGGCGTCAAGCTTCGGTCGTTCTCTGTGATAAGAAGGTGCCACAAAGGCTAAAAGGTAAGTTCTATAGGACGGCGATTCGCCCGGCGGTGCTATACGGTGCTGAATGTCGGCCTACAAAAAGGCAACATGTCCAAAAGGAAAAAAACTAAGTGTAGCAGAGATGCGGATGCTGCGTTGGTTTTGCGGGCACACAAGAAGGGATAGAATCCGAAATGAGGATATTCGTGATAGGGTCGGGGTGGCTCCAATTGAGGAGAAATTAGTTCAACATCGGCTGAGGTGGTTCGGACATGTCCAACAGAGGCCTCCTGATGCACTGGTGCGTAGGGGAGTTCTACAGCGGGCCGATGTTGTTAACAGAGGTAGAGGGACTCACTTGGGAAGAGTCGGTTGAGAGAGACCTTAAAGATTGGAATATCTCCAAGGATTTAGCGGTGGATAGAAGCGCTTGGAGACTAGCGATCAACGTGCCGGAACCGTGACTTTTGCTCCTTTCTCTTTTGCTCCAATCTTTTTTTTTTTTTTTTACCACTGCTTCTATTGGGTTTCATCTCTAGCTACCCCAACTTGTTTGAGACTAAAAGGATTTGTTATTGTTGTTGTAACCTTTGAAAAATAGAAGAAAATACTGATAAAATTGTGCTCTTCAACTTCAAGTTCAATGCTTCTTAAAATCAGACTTCTTGATTATTTGACAATTTATTTAGAAGAAGAAAAAATAGTATTTCATTTATAGAGTTCAATGTTACTATTTACTTGTTGGGCTCAGACATGGGCTTGCAATTGGGCTTGGTCTTGCTTTTGGCCCAATCTTTGCTGAGAGTGGACATTGAGACAGGGCTGTCCCACTTGGATTTTGGGCTGTAAGATACTATCGACTTCATTTCTTGGTATGTGTTAAAAAAACAAATTCAATATTGAGAAAATTACACCTCTTACTCTTGATTTACTAAATAATATTAAAAATACGATATATTTATCTTTTCATCACAATTACGAACTATGTATTTAATTAAAGAAAATTGTAAATAAGGAGGGTGGTTATCTCATTGCATGATAATCGGGAGGAGAGATATTCTCTTTCCTTGCACACATAACACTAAATCAATAACAAAATATTATTTTTCTCTCTCACAATCTCGGTTGTCGTGTAACATCTTCACAAGAAAAATTGCAAGAACTTATCTTCCCTAAAAACAAAAGAAAACCACTACAGACTCCATAAATTTTCAATGGCCAAGAAAAAGAAAAATGAGGCCAAAAAAAAGAAAAATGAGGCTAAAGACGAAACAAGATTAATACGCTACCGATCTCATCGAACATCTTAATTTCAAGCAATCGAGCATAAGGTCATCCAAAAAAAGCTTCAATTTTAGAAAATTTGAGATCCGAAAGGTTCCAAGAAACCGACTCTCACGACAACTGAAGTTACCCCCCTCTCTCTCTCTCTCACCCTCATCTCTTCTTTTTTAGAAATTACCTTTCAATTTTGGATATATGGAGGTCCAGTTTGGTCGGGCTACGAGCGGCAGCACAACGCCCGAGGCCCGCACTGACGGAGGCTCTCGAAGGTTGATGCTTGCCTAACATGAGTGCGCGGTTGCTCGACCCAGCAACAGTGTGAAAGTGGTCCGGTTGGAGGAAACTCGGCCATCCGTAGTACCAGTGGACGTTTATGTATTTTTTAAGCTTATGTTTTTTAGATGTCATATATATTTAGAATCTCAATTTTTTTAATGTCAAGATGTATTATGTTTATCTCGTTTAACTAAATTTTATTTGGATTTTTGCAGTCATTCAAAATTGTGTATTATGTTTTATCCTGTTTCATAATTGTTTGTTTATATTATCGTCAAAGTCATACGTGAATAAAAAAAAAATGTATATATATAGTCATTCTACGATAAATAGAGTATCTAAGTAATGAGACAATCGAATTTAGTAGGTTGAAAAGTAAACGTAATTAATGCATTGTTATTTTTATCTAGAATTTTATTTAGGGTAGTTTATTTATTTAAAAATAAAAAAAATTAACTGGACAAAAATAAAAGAAA